CCCCAAACCAGTTCGTTTATCATCAAGGTTTGTTTGTTGGAAAAAAATCAAGTTCAGACGCTGTCAGCGTTTGTGTGTGGATGTTAAGTGTGCCTTTTTTATCGCAAAATGTTGAAACAAGATTGCTAGGATTATTCACAGAGAAAAAAACTAAGTAATTTTACGATTGTTTTCTCGAACGACTGCGTGTGGGGTAATTTATCCAAATAAGCTTTGCAAGCTTCTCTTTTTTTCAGAAATTTTGTGTAATTGTGTAATTGTGTGTTTATCTGAACCCATTGTGCGACCCGGATAGAGTTTTCATGTCAGATTTTTCTTGTCGTGTAAGGTGTGTAGTTAATGCTTTGGAATTTTGAGAAGTTGATCGAGGCTGTGTCTCCCAGATTATTAATTTAAGTTTCTATTGTGTTGTATCACACGTAGCAACAAAATTATGCGTTTTGATTGCTAAAAATCGAAATCCATTTAGATGTTTTTAAAATGAAATTAGAGCATAAATAGTAATTTCAATTAGAAAGTCATCAAAGGAGCAGATCTATACTATTGACTGTAGAAAATTAAATTAAAACATTTCTAGGTATACGTCCTTGAGTTGTCGTGACAAACCTGGACGCACAAGCGTAAAGTGCTATTTCATAAAGAATCTTTTACGTGTAACGATTTTTACTTCTTAATAATGAAAATGCCGAAAATTTAAAATACTGTACCTAGGTTTTATTTTATGTAAGACATACAAAACAGCACAAAATGAGCATAATCATAGTTCGATCGCAGTAAAGAGACCTTTGCTCTTAGCATTCAGCCGTAAACAAAGACTAAAAACATAATCTTTCAATGCAGTTCAGACGAGAATTTTTTTATCGCGGAAACCTTTGTTTTTAGCATTAACTTGTAACCGAGAAGCAAACCACTATATCATTCTGGTGTACAGTCTCTTGGAATTCTTTCGGAATTCATTAAATTCTTATAGAATTCGTGAAGTTATTTGGTCTTTTTGCAAGCTATGGTTTAGGTTGTGGCCTACTTTTTAGTAATCGCTCGGTATGACTGTATGTTTTGCACATGACTGATCACTGAACTGATCTCATCCCTCACGAGACACTATGTGAAATGGTGACTTATTTCTATAATCCATCGCAGCAACAAAGGGAGCAAATGAGTGCGAGAGAGAAAGAACGAAGTTACTTCTGTCGGCACTCACCAAGCGCCATTTTTAAAATTTTTTGGTTTGTGGGTCTTTGAAGCTGAAGCATAATTACGATATAGAAGTATTCAGTATTGATGACAGCATTTACATGGTAAACTCGCACGATCTAAGAGCTTGACTCAAAAATAACTAAATTATTGCGCCACTGACGACTGACTCACAATCATGAAAGTAGCTTTCCTGCTGCTTTTCCTCGACTTTTCCTTGAACTTTATCAGAAAAACAATCATCATAATATGTAGATACATAAACAAATATTAATAATGTATAATATATAATATTAATTAACTGATAGAATGCATTGGAAGTCAATTGAATTTTTGGAAGTTTTGGTAGTCTTGCGAAAGTCTGATTCTTTTACACTTTAGGAATTTTGGTGTACACATTTTTGCTCAGTGGTTTACCCAGTCGGTTATAACCGCACAGAAAGAGCAGAAATTAATTTGTTAATAAGTTTTTTGCTCATTATGAGGGATGGGAAGAACTGAGTGGCGATGCCTTTATGTAGGTATACTGACCTAGGGAAACAACGAGACATCAATTAATCGTTGAATTATCGTTTTAATCGTGTGAATCGGGCTTGACGAAAAATAGATGAATTCATGACAGTTGATAATTCACTAACTTAATTACCCATTTTTCGTCGAGTCCGATTCAATTTTTATTGCAATGATCTAAGGGGGGCCCACTGGAGTTCTAGGTGCTTGTTCAGTAGAAAGAGAGCACCCCGTCGGTACGCTTAACAAATATTAGACATTTGATTGCAAATGAAATTCTCTAAGATGAGCGAAACTAAAGCGTATGTCCCATGCAATGAAAATTTGGTCACATATGACACCTGATGATTACTAAAGTATAAGACCATCGATATAAGAAAATTATACAGAAGTAACACATTTCACACGAAGGGTGTAGAATTTGATTGATTTTTTGAGACACTTGCCATATTAGGTACAACTTCAGGGGGGTTTTCTGGAGATTTCAAAAGATTCCAAAGGAGCTTTTGGTCATGTGAAATTAGCACACTGTCTTTTTACGATAACTTAAATGCTTATTTATTGCACATTGCGGTATTGGCATACCATTTTCTAAAAGGTTCGCTCGATCGAGGAACTACAGAGATCAAGGAAACGTGGAGGACGTTGCAAAATATTTTGACAGAAGTTGGATCTAGAAAAATCAATATTAGTGAGGTAAAATAATTCGTATGGCGAGATGTTAATTAAAGTTATACAATGTGATCAAAAATGTGCGTGCGTTGTATTTTTTATAGTGGTGCGAAATGAGATTTTCAGTTATCAAACCCTTTTATATGGGACATAGGTAGATAATCAAATTGAAATTCAATCTTGATTTTTAAATTTTTTTAAAAATGAAAACGTAATATTTGCTGCTTATCTCTACAATTACGAAATTTTAAAAAAATCTGATAATTTAATCCAACTGATAGTTTTTTTTTTTAGAAAAATTTGCACAAAATTTCGAAATTCTGGTTTCCCTTGAGAAACTAATCTCTAATAAATGCATTTTGTATGGCAAATCTCCTAGACACTGTGAATGCCAAAGAAGCATATATTTTAGGTGCGAACGGAAATCGTACTACCATTATAGTGTTACCGTTGCAATACTGGCATCTTCGCTGTTAGTTACTGGAAGGTAACTGCGATAATTTTGGGGAAAGGAATGGGAAACTTTTCCATTTGGGAAATGTTACTTTCCCACCATGAAAATTGAATTGGCGGGCAAAGCAAATGCAATTCTCGCTGAAGCACAGGCAATTTTTTCATTGGTGGTGGCGACGTGTAAGACGTCTGAGAGTAGGTATAAGAATTATGTAAAAAGTTCGTCATCTACACCCAGATTAAATTTGTAGGAGACGCTTTGTTTTTCGCAATATGAAAACTACATACCTTTAGATCCGCTTCCAGTCGATGATACTGGCTGCAAAGACAAGAGAACCATCGTGGTAACAATAAAAAGTATTTTACACCGCATTTTTATATCGTCGGATTCCCGCACAATTTTAAAAGACATTTGAAAGTTTAATAAAAAGGTTTCCAAAAGAAATTAAGGAAATCTAAACAAGAATAAAGTTCGAATAAAGTTTTACGTAACTATGAGACACATCTTTGCAAACTTCTGAAGAGGTGTTACGTACGAAATTTCAAGCAGGCCGAGCGCGTGTTTTCGACTTTTAGATTACGACTGTCACGAGCGCCTTTATCAAGAAACAGAAGCGCACTGATAACTTTGAAATCTTTGGCCACCCGCACCTTCACTCATGCGCTATACGGAAACCTGGCGCCGGCTTTGGCCAATGAAGAATCACAAAGCCACACCAATAAACCAATAGGATCATCCAAAGACGTTACATGGGAGGACCCAGTACATGTAAGACATGTAATTAGAATTGTAAAACACAGGTAAAGAGGCTCCAAGTTACAATACCGCTCCGTTTCCCGTATAAGGGATACACACGTTTGAAATGTCATTCCCGCGCTCTCAATGCGAACTGACGACATCTGCCATTTCTTGTATCACGTACTACCTAATTAACTTTTATTTGCCCACAATAATGTAATCCCATTCCCGAGTCTGTTATAAGAAATGCAGACACGCCATTTAAATTTTGATTTAAGAAACACGAGATTTTCATATAATTCGCATAAAATATAAATTTAATGTATATCTAATACTGAAATATACGCAACTGCTTCGCAGTTTTTAAATTTATATACCATTTTGAATGTTTCCCCCTAATTAATTAAAAAACTACAGTGGAAATTAGGTTAATCACGATATTCTATTCACAAAACGTTCACCAACACTTCCCCATGCTGCCATTAAGCTTAAGTGAGTATTTATGTAAAACATTACAAGAAAAGAAAGTTGGTTTCCACGAAACAAAAACCTTAAATTTTAGCAGGTGGGGTCGAGATGTTATCACCGCAACCTAAAGATCCGAGCTGTGCACAGAAAAGCTGATTTTTCAACGGTCATATGCTAGATAGTGATTCCGTCGAGGCGAGATTTTCTGATTGGTATCTTGTCTCGTCCCAACGAAACAAGAGCGACATTTTACATTGGGGGATGAAGTTTCAGACGAAACTTTGGTCCCGTTATACGTTTAGATTAAGAATAAGAGGAACTGAGAGATATTTTTTTCCATTTCTCGCAGCCAAATCTATATTCGATAAAGATTGTAAAGTAAAAATCAGGCGTCTGTGATTTGTTAATCAATTTCGGACATACCCTACAACAATGCAGTATGCGAAATCTATAGAAAACTTGTCTGAAATTGATTCACAAATCAACGACGCAGGGGCAACAATAAATTGTCATTAAATGTTTATTAATGTAATAAAATATAAGTATGTCTGTGGTTTCTGTTTCTTGTGATCGATTTCTTTCAAAGGCTCAAAAGTGGTTAAACAAGTTTCTTAAGAAATTGTTGAAGTTGCAATGTTACGCACACTCTTATCAACTTATTAAAAGTAATCATGAAATATGGAGTAACATAACCTAACATTCAACTTCATTGTATTAAGATGTGGAAAAGTTAGCGCTTCTCCCGCAAATTTTTTTGTTAAAAACGCTTAATTAAGGTGCCATTTATATCAATTTCACTACGTAACAACGTATATTCTTAAAAGTAAAATTAAATATAGCCCCATGATCACCTTCTGTTGATGTAATGATGAAAGGAGTAAATTTCTCTAAAACTTAAACAGTTATTTGTTTGAATTCTAACTTTTAACAACAGATATGATATAATCCTTTGTTTCAATAATACTTTATAAATCTCATAATTAATATGAAAAATATTTTTACAACAAATCAAATCAATCTGAGCAAATTAGTAGAAAGAAAATAGTATTCTGGAAAGAGTACAGTATAATTTTGGTTGGGGTATAAAATGCTTTTAATTGGATGAGCGCAAAATATGTATATCCGGTCCTGTATAGAGGAGTAAAAGAGCGTCTATAAGCCTGCATAAACGATTCGATACCAAAAAGCTCAAGAAAAAACAATAGTCTTTGATATACTTCAATGGTAAGTATACATAGTACTTTTCTCGTTCATTTATAAAAAAAATGAGAGAGTAATTATTTATCACAAAAATTGGTTTTCCTTTGAAAAATCTAATGCTTAATCGGTCTTTCTTCATTGGCGTTTTTTTCGTAGATTGATATCTATATAATAAACAGGTATAAATATCTAACCATAAAACATTCCAATTATTGCCAAAGAGAGGACAAAATGTTACATAGAAGTTAAAAACAATTAAGATTTTCGGAGACTAAAGTGTAAAACGCGACGCAGGACAAAAAGTGACAGTGGAGTACACACTGAAATGTCAACAGTTCAACACACAATTTAATAATGATTAACGGTTACCTTCAAATGTACATTTTGGTTCTTGCATCCATTATACTTATTGTACCATTTTCCATAAATCTTTTGGAATTTGGGAGGCAGTAGTTTCCTGATAGCTTATTCTGAGGAGTTCTTTCTTCTGTGAACTTTTCCGCAGAGATGTTAGCGCTTATATGTTGAACCTGAAATTATTAGGAAACATTACAATTACTGAAAGAGAAACGGCACAAATAGTTGTATGCAAGTTAAAATTATAGGGAAAATAAATTTTATTTTATACCACCCGCGCCAATATCATTCAGTGGCGTCCTCTTCTAGTTTGCTATCCACCGTGCAGTCAGAATCACTCGTACTGTAACGACTCATAATCCCCTCATTTAGCTTTCTTTTTTAACTTTTACCTTTGCATTAGCCAATTTTGTTTGTATTCATACTTATGTTTGGATATATTTCTTACTCTGTTTTGTTTACTTGCTTGCTACCATATTGTTTGTATGCATTTTGCTGTAAAAGGATCATAATCTGTTGAGCAATAAAATATTATTATTATAACAAAGAAAAAAGGCATAGAAGAGAGAGAAACAATTAAAAAAATTATGAGAAAAATAAATTTTCCTTTGCAACACCCCGTTTCCTTCTTCAGTGGCTCCCTCTTAATCTACGTCGAATCTGCAATTATAAGAAAAAAATACAATTATTGTTAGAGAAGAGACACAGAAAAAAATATAAGCAAGTTAAAATGACGAGACAATAAGTTTTGCTTTAATCCACTCCCGAAAGGGATACAGTTCTCCACAGTAAATATTTTTTCAGTGGCATATTCCCGCAGTTTAATATCCACCGTGCATATAAATGTCGAATCTACAATTACAAGAAAAAGATTAGATTTATTGATGAAGAGGATCTAAGAGATATGTTCAAGCCAACCAAACAAAAAAAAACACAAACACAAAAAAATTATAAGAAAAAGGTTTTCCTTTCTTTATACCACCCTAGAAAAATGTTTAGTTCTCCTTCGTAGATCTTTTTTCAGTTGCACATTCTTCCAGTTTGGGTACCCACCGTGCAAATAAATATCGAATCTGCAATTTACAAGAAAAAAATTAGATTTAAAGTTAAAACTATACTCCCGCAAGAGACTCAATTTTATTATCCCTTGTTCCTTTGATGTCCACCGTACGATGACTGTTGAATCTGCAATTATTAAAACAATTACAATTATTGTAAGAGAAAAATACACAAGAAAAATAACTTTTCATTTACACCAACCCCGATAGAAATCTAATTCTCCCTCCTTATAATTATAAGGAAAAAATTATTGCTAGAGGAAAAACACACAAAAAAACACACATTAAAATTATGAGAAAAATCGTAGATACTTCTGTTGTAGCATATTCTCGCAGTTTGATATACACCGCACGTGTAAATGTCAAATCTGTAGGTAATTATTGGAAAGGTTTACAACTATTGCAAAAGAAATGGCACATAAAAGATACAAGCGGTTAAAACTATGAGAAAAATAGCTTTTCCGTTATACCACCCCCGAAAGAAGTCCAATTCTCCCTCGTGGATTCATCTTCAATGACGTATTCTTGCTATTTGACATCTACCGGTCTTAAATGTCGAATCTACAATTAGAAAAAAATTACAATTACCGCAAGAGAACGAAAAACTACAACCAAGTTAAAATTATGAGAAACAATATGTTTCGTTCCCACTGACGCCCTTTCTCAGTTTGAAATCCACCGTGCATATATAAATTTCGAATCTTGTAACGGGCTAGTTACATTTACAAGGGTTGCAGACGCCGCTTGAATAAAATAAAATTAAATCTCTACGGCACTGGCAGAAATCCCAAAAGAACAATTAGTTTTATTCTTCCCACGGCTAGCTCAGTAATAAAATTGTTTTTTCCAGCCCTTAACTTGCGGAAGTCCGACCAACTACCAGGACTGATCATCAGTCGTTTGTGAAACTGGCCTTAATAAAGTGATAATTTAATTTGTTAATTCTTACTGGTTAAAAGAGACTCATTCAAACCCATTAAAATGACAATTTAACATATGCTTCACAATAAACAAATTAAAATTACGATAACAATCAGTTTTTTTATACTACCCCCGAAAGAAGTCCAATCCTCCTTCAATGGCGTATTCTGGCAGATTCATCTCCACCCATGACGTCGAATCTGTAATAACAATAAAAAAATTTCCATTATTACAAGAGCAAGGGCACACAAACATTAAAATTGAGAAAGGTCTTTTTACCGCCCCCGAAAAAATCCCATTCTCCCTAATCTTTCTTCAGTTGCGTATTCTCGCAGTTAGATATCCACCAGGCGCATACCTAAAATGTCGAATCTGCAATTATAAGGAAAATATTACAATTACTGCAAGAAAAGGATACACAGAAAGACGCAAACAAGTTAAAATTATGAGAAAAACAAATCAATTATACCACCCCCGAAAGAAATTAAATTCCCCCAAGTAGATACTTCTTTATTAGCGTAGCTACGCTGTTTGATATACACCGTGCGTGTAAGAATCTCTAATTATTAGAAAATGATTACAATTATTACAAAAGAAAAGATACAAAAGATTTTCCTTTATACCGCCCCCGAAAGATATTGAATTTTCCCTCGTAGATCATTTTACAGTGACGTATTCTCGCTATTCGTCCTCGACCGTGCGGATAAATGTCGAATCTGCAATTTGAAAATACGCAAGATAAACACCACTAACAAGTTAAAATCATTAGAAAATATGTTTCCTTTTTCACTGGCGCCCTTTCTCAGTTTGATATCCATCATCCATGTATAAATGTCGAACCTTGTAATGGTTTAGTCACATTTACAATGGCATAAAAGAATACAAAACAAAATAATAAACAATTAATCTTTATGGTTTCCACGGCTAGCTCAATAATACACTTGTTGTTATACCTCTTTCGTTGTGGAAGTTTGGCCTCTTATATTCTTCTAAGATCTTAAATTCAAAATTAACGTCCTGGTTCGACGGAACTCTCTCTTTTCAAAAATATACCGCTCCCCTTCGTGGTGTATGTCCATAAGTATTTCGAACTCCAACAAATCAGCTCCAAATTTGCGAAAATGATGGGTGATAGTTTTTGTTATGCGCTGGAATAAAACGCCAACATTCCGCTGTGTTGAACTTAACATTTTGTTCCCATTGATTAAGCTTTTGCGATGTGAGTAAATCACCCATTTAATTGTTTCTAAGGTTCCTAACAAATGACGTTGTGTACAGAAAATTATTAATCGCGTGAATCGATCACTACTTTATTTATTTGCTTTATTAGGCAAACTTCCAAATTCAATGGAAAATTTAATCGGTAATCTGACGGTCACTTGACGCCCTTGAATTTAGCTAAATTTAAAAAATATCGCAAGTAGATGGGAATTACTAAAATTCTCACCCCGAAATTTAAGTGCTAACTCTCTGAAAAACCAACCTCATCTGCCGTCTCTAATTCCCGCATAAACGATTTAACTAAAATTGGTCTTCAAAACCTGCATTCTTATCGAAAAATGCACACGCTGCTGTCCCTCTTTTATTTCCAAACGTAATTTGGTTTCGGTTCACTATGAAGTGGTACATGCGGAAATTTCCCTATGGTTACCAAAATTTAAATTCGAGAAAAAAGTACTTTGTAGCGACCACCCGTTACAATCTGCAATTGTAAAAAAAATTACAATTGTAAGTAAAATATACAAAAAAAAAGATTTTCCCCAGAAAGAAATTCAGATCTCCCTCGTATATCTTTCTTCAGTGGTCCATTATCGCAGTTTGATATCCACCGTGCAAATAAATGTGGAATCTGCAACTATAGGGACAAAATTAAAATTATTGCAAGAGAGAAAAACATAGATATAAAAAAATAAGTTTTCCGTAGTACTATCCAAGACAAAAATCCCAATTACACTTGGCAGATTCGTTTTCTGTGGCGTTCTTCCACTGTTTTATATTCGCACCGTAGGAATGAATGTTGAATCTGGAATTACAAGGAAAAAACTACAATTATTACACACAAAAGATAAAAACATGTTAAAATTAAGAGATAAATAATTTTTCTTATACCACTCCTCGAAGATGCTTCTTTACCGTTCGCAGTTTGATATCCAAAGTGCTTATAAATGTCGAATCTGCAATTACAAGGAAGACCTTGCAATTATTGCAAAAGACAAGCACAGAAAAGGTACAAACAAATTAAAATTACGATAAAAATCAATGTTTTATACCACGGCCGAAAGAAATCCAATCTTTCTTCAGTACGGTACTCTGGCAGTTTCATATCCACCCTGCATATAAATGTCAAATCAGTCATAACAAGAAAAGAAACCTGGAAACCGACCTTTCCCATTAGGTACATATCTCTTTTATTGCAGACAAGTCATATTTGGTGCTTGCGGCATCTTGGGGTAGCTTCGAGTTGTTAGCGGAGTCCCGCACTATACGTATTATATGGCTATAGCTATGCCCAGTTTGAATTTTATGCAATTCGGTTCATAACTAACGGATATGTCAAAAGGAGCTTTCTTATGCTTTGACCTACATTGCTAATTAAATTAAATTGCGAAAGGAAAGGCCCAGAAAAAAGATACAACAATTTTAAAAATATGAGAAGAATAGGTTTTCCTTTACACCAACCCCGAAAGAAATCAATTGCTGCCTCGTATATCATTCTTCAGTGGAGTCAACTTAAAGTGATCCACCGTGCGTGAAATGTTGAATCTGCAATTATAGCGACAAAATTACGATTATTGCAAGAGAAACAACACCAACAAGTTAAAATAGCAAAAAGTAAAAGTTATCGTTTTCTACAATTTTTTAACTTAGAAAGCGCTTTTAAGACTGGTTAATTGAATCGAATTTACTCGTTACACTATTCGGATAGGAACAATCATTAAATTTCTCAGTTTCCTTGTTAAATCCATTAAAAAGAACGTTGTTCTGTGCTAAAAATGCCAGTGTTCTACATAGCTTTTGAGAGAATTACGTGCAAATAATTCTAAACGTTTACATTTTCGTAGTTTTATAATTTAATTTTAGCAATTGCGACTGCGTCCTTTTTTTACTTAAAATCTATTTCGAATGCTTTTCATAACAGGACATTTTTGTTGCATAACGACTAATTACATTTACCGATTGTGTAATTAAATTTGAAAATTTTCTTTTAATTTTCGCGTTCAGCTTTTGGTCATTTATTGGAAATTTTAACAATATCTGCGTCCCGTAATTCGTTTGTCGTGTTGCGATTTTCTGCATTTGCACTTTGCATTAATATGCGGCAATCATAACAATCAGTTTGAAGACATTAATTTATCCACAACTCTAAACCTTTTTTTTTGTTGACATAATTCAACAAATCAATCATTTTTAAATTTCTGACACCCTGAAATCACACGGTTGCAATCAAATCACTTCATACCCAAAAAATGTTACTCTAAACTAAATTAACAGATTTGAAGCTTCCCTTTTATTTGAAAATATCAACACAAAATCAACAAAGTGTAACTAAACATGTTTAGCCTATGATTATGAGTGTCTTTTCAATTTTTTTTATTTTGGAGTTCCTAATACTTATCCACTTAGTGTACTATGTATTTATGGCACATTGAGAGGTTTCATATCGGAAGTTACGACCATACCGTATATTTGTGCAGTAGGCCAGCTTTGCTGAACACCCGGTATCTAGAAGCGTTTCAAGTTGTGCGCTTCGTTACTAAGAAATCGTAGTTTCTGAATTTACATATTTGCTCTACGAGACGAGGAGTGAGCTTTGTGTTTTCATTTTGATTAATTGTTTGTCTTGCCACCGAAAACGCAGGTAAGTTTCGTAGTGAATTTATCCGTTTTGCAACCGTTCCTGTAGGAATGTTTAAATTGTTTCGACAGCCGCCAAAAGCTCTCCTGCTAGGGAAGTTTGAGGTCCGATTAATCGATTTTAGTTTTCTAATGGTATACGAAAATCCAGGATTGAAACCGGCAAGGTCGTCCAGTTTAAAGAAAATATCAACGTGATAACGGATTGCGCTACTTGACCTCACATTCCAAAGAACAACATTTCATTCCGATTTGGATAAGTATAATTAACCATAATTAATTGAATAGGTTACCTTTCTCTAGGTTGCCGACGATAAGAGCGAGCCACTCCGTAGTTGAAAATTTACGTGCTGTAAAGATAATTTATATTTAGCATTAGAAGTTTCAGTATGGTGGACAGTAGATATATATGCTATAGATTTCTCTTAGAATGTAACGTACAATCTAAAAATCGAATTAAATATAGGGTGTACCATTTAGAGTTTTCAAGTTGAGGGTTGTTGACCGCTTTCGGAACATCCTGTATAAGTAATACTTAAACCAAATTGGAAAAACGGTGCTTAGGCCAAATGACTTTTGTATTTTTGAAAAACGTGACAAAAAACGAGTTGGAGGGGGGTCAAAATATAGTGAATATCCCGATACATGTCAACATATGACTACGTGAAAAGTCTGTGAATAGTTTATTTGTCATCACCTATGTTATTGCCTTTCGTTTTCAAAAACTTATTGAGGTATTGCAAAGGTTTACAAATATTAAAATATCAAATTTATGAGGAAAAATTAATTTGGAAAATAATATTGGGCGTTATGTAAACAGTATGGCTCTCAGGTTAGCCTGCAAAGTTTTTAAACTTCGAATACGTCATGAACGCTTAATTGAGTAGTAACATCCCGGACATTAGATCTTGTAAATGGCGATGCGTCAGTCTTACATATAAAAGAAAATAGCGATTCCTTACTCCTAATAGATGTCCCTGTAAGGGGCATACAGATTTGCTATGGAAATGTGAGAACAGTCTGTTTTCCGTGAAATAAGAGTTGACAGTGTGGCGCCGTACGCTAGATGAAACTTGACGCACGTTGACAGATCATCCGGACTGAACCCACGGGACCGTAGCGTCTCTTTTTCACATTCCGATGAGCCCCAAACCCAACGAAATTGAGAATGCTAATCTTATGTCATAGAACGAGGACGACGCAAAGTTATTATAAACACGTGAGCTTGACAAACATGTATTATTTATCAGGACACTAATACTGAGATTGATTAGTAGCAGGAACACAAACATAATACTACCTTTAGATTAAAAATGGCTAGCAGTCTCGTAGAAAGAAAATATAACGCTGCAGGAATTAAAAGGTATATAAAGGAGTTTTCAAAGAGCACTTCTGCAATAATGGAAAAATGTATCAGAATAAATAAAACGATTTTTCTCCTTGCAATTAAACAGTGAACTTTTTATTGTTTAAAACTGAAGTTTTTTATAAACTGATGTGCACGTCGCTAATAAAAGAGTTGTGCGTAGTGTATAACGAGGTGTATAAAAAGCATGTACCTATGTTAAAGTTAATACACATAACGAATAGCTTGAAAATAATTAATTTAATTGGTCATCATGTGTGTTTTCCAAACACGCAAAAATTCTGTACCTGCATAATGAAAAATGGAAACTTTTCAAGAGGCGCTCACATCGAAATCGATGCGACGATCGTCGAAATGGTCCCTCCGAAGCACACACTGCGCATGTCTGATGCAGTTTGCAGACAACAACACAACAAACAAATAAAGGGAGTAGTGAATAGCGCGGCATATAAACTATTGCGTAAGCAATGCTAACGTCTGACACTGAGGCCAATCGGATACTAAACCGTACTTAATGCTAAAAAAGAATCAATAATTCGAATGACTTTATACAACCAAAAGCAAAATTTTGACTCGACTACGGATTTCTCTCGTACAAACGGTAATATAAACTTCAAGAAAACTACTTTACGATGAATAAATCAATGCAATCTAATTAATTCAAAATGTAAATAAGGTAGTAGGAGCAAATTCTTCGGAGCAAAACAAGTAACGTGACCAAAAATTGTAGATATTGGCTTCGGACAAAGTCTCGGCAACTTCAAAAACTGATTTACAAAGCAACGGTAGCTAATATCTCAAATAACACAGTTAATCTGAAGGATACAATGTAATTAAACTAGCAGAAATAAATCTTCGTAGTAATCAGAAAGTATAACGTGGACAAAATCGGGTCTCGGTATCGGTAACAACAAAAAAGTACTTATATCAGGTATAAAAGAGCGATTTAAAAGAGTAAATACTTGCAGTTATGAACTATAGATCAGGTGTTTGGTTTCACTAAAATCTGCCGGTAAGGTAGAAACATCCATCGCGTCGTTCTTGAAATGATAAGGGGACGGTGGGACTTACCCAGTGAATTTTCCTTGCGCAATATTGAGAAAATCTAAAATTCGGCGGTTTCCACACAGAAATATCCATGTAGAAAGCAACGATCAGGTAATAATGAGGAACAGAATAAGAAGCCTAAAAACCATTATTCAAAGTCAAAAAGGTAATGCATAATGTTTGTTACATACCGAAAACGGCCTGAGAACTTGTAAAATATACCAAGAGAAAAACATACAATCACAATAAATCCCAACAAATTAAAAAAGTAATCGTAAACGATTTACAAAAAGCTCATATTTCATTTCCCATTTGTAAGATTTGTAAGATAGCGTTGCATGTGTAATCCATTTTTGACGTTCAGTTTCAATTTATAAGAAGAATCCTACCCTAACATTTTAGAAGAATTAGTTTACAAATAACCAATGTGGGTTTTACGGATTGTGCATGTGCAAAAGAAATATTTTGATTTGGTATTAGTTTTACGTTTATTCGAGGTGCCTACATACAAAATTTCATTAAAATATCTTAACAAATAAAAAAATTGAATTGCGCATGCGCAAAACAAATGCCTTGATTCGGCATTATTTTTACTTCTACTCGAGGTGCCTACATACAACATTTCATTTAAATACCTTAACAAATAACAAGTTAAAAAAGTACTGGTAAACGATTTACAAAAAGCGCATTACCACTTGCATTCATTTCCCATTTGTAAGGTGCAACTTCTATTAAAATTTCTTAAAAAATCCGACCACAAGTAAGACAGTTAGAGTTGCATATGTGCAATCAATTTCTGACCTGCTACGTCAATTTCAGTTTATAAGAAGGATCCTACCCTAAAATTTTAGAAGAATTGTTTCACAAATAACGAATGTGGATCTGGGTATGCGCAACAATTATTGGTTTGCGTGTTTTGAGTCGGATCGAATTGCGCATGCGCAAAACAAATGTATTTGATTCGGAATTAGTTTTACCTTTATTCGAAGTGCCTCCATACAAAATTTCATTTAAATATCTTCACAAATAAAAACAAGTTAAAAAGTAATCGTAAACGATTTACAAAAAGCGCATTTCCACTTGTATTCATTTCCCATTTGTAAGATGCAACTTCTGTTAAAATTGTAAAAATCCGGTCACAAATATGAAAGACAGCGTTGCACATGTGCAATCCACTTTTGACGTGCTACTTCAATTTCAGTTTATAAGAAGAATTTCATTTCATAGCTTCTCTAAATAAGAAAGTTGGAACTGCGCATGCGCAAATCTAAATTTTGAAACCAACGTTAGATTTTCATTTGTTCCAAGCGCCTATATATCAAATTTCATTTAAATGCGTCCATAGATAAAAAAAGTTGGCACTGCGCATGCACAAAATAAAATTTTGAAACTGGCGTTAGATTTTCCTTTATTCCAAGCACCTATGTATCAAATTTCATTTAAATGCTTCCATAAATAAAAAAAGTTGCCACTGCGCATGCGCAAAACCAAATTTTGAAACTGGCGTTAGATTTTCCTTTATTCCAAGCACCTATGTATCAAATTTCATTTAAATGCCTCCATAAATAAAAAAAGTTGCCACTGCGCATGCGCAAAACCAAATTTTGAAACTGGCGTTAGATTTGCCTTTATTCCAAGCACCTATGTATCAAATTTCATTTAAATGCTTCCATAAATAAAAAAAGTTGCCATTGCGGATGCGCAAAACCAAATTTTGAAACTGGCGGTAGATTTTCCTTTATTCCAAGTGCCTATGTATCAAATTTCATTCAAATACTTTTATAAATATAAAAGTTTGCAAATCGTTTTATAAATGGTGGAGATGCGAAAAGGGCACTGTGAGTTTTGAATCGATTCGACTCAACTTTTGGCATTGCGTATTATATGGCTAAAGCTATGCTCATATTGAATTTCATGCAATTCAGTTCATAACTAACGGAGATCAAAAAGCAATCGGACATTTCTAAACAAAATTATCGTTCACACGGACAGATAGAGGGACAGACAGACAAAGGAACAGACGGACATACCAACAGACAGACGACAGACAGCAATACAAACAAAAAAAACAGCAAAAGTGTAAAATTATGGAACATGTAAAAAACAGTTTGTTGGTTTTTTTGCAATTCCTTTTTTTGTAAGCGGTACAGAAAAAATACCTTCCTTGGTGCAAGCCTCGACACCATAACGAACAAATAGCGAAAAAAGTAGAACAATAGCTCTTAAGATAAAGAACTAGTAGTGTCTCAACGAACGAGCGGACGGACGGACGGACGAACGGACGGACAAGTGGCCACAATACCGCATTTTTTTTTATTTTTGTGGAAATGCGCTAAAAATTATATTGCGCATGTGCAAAACAAATTTCTTGATTCGGGATTAGTGTTACATTTAAATATCCTGACAAATTAAAAAAATTAGATTCCGCATGCACAAACCCAATGGGCATTAGTTTTACTGTTATTCGAGGTGCCTACATACAAAATTCCATTTAAATACCTTAACAATTGAAAAAATTGGATTGTGTATGCGCAAAACAAATTTTTTAAACAAGCATCAATTTTACTTTTAACTAAGAGCATGTGTAGGTACCCAATTTCAAAGCGATCGAACACTTCTAAACAAGTTATCGTTCACACGGAGAGATAGATGGACACATAACAGACAGACGACAGACAGCAATACAAAATTATAAACGATTTCTAGAATCGATAATAAACGACAGCCGGGCGGACGGACAGGCGGACGGACAGACGAACGGACAAAGTGGCCACAATAGCGCATTTTTTTTTGTGGAAATGCGCCAAAAAGTGGACAAACGC